ATAAATCCACAGATAAAAGAAGAAATTGTTTATAACATTAGAATCTTATGTTAGACATTACATAGAAATGTAACTTCTATTTTGTAATATAAATTTATAATACTGTCTGAATATAAGGAAAGATGATCACAGTAGTACAAAGGAGATGACACATAAATTGTAGTAATGAGGAAAACAGAATAAATACTGTTTGACTGAATTCAGAGATTAGTTAGAGTATTGTATAATACTTGGTTATTAATAGTAAAAGGGAAAAAACAAGAGAAAGAAATAAGAGTTAGCAACAGAAATAAACGAGGAAATGAATATATACTTGCGTGAAAGAAAAAAGAATAATGTACATAATGTATATGATCTGAAATACGTGTATACATTTGTAGAAAACGAGACCAAATAGAAACTTGACCTAACAATTGCTGAATCTTTACTGTAAGTTTAACGAATTAAGGCTGCTGAAGAAAATCAAATTATTAAATTAAATTTAAACTTTAAATTAAAACAAATTAGATAAAAGTAGTCTATGAAATTTGGAATTTACAAAAACAGGTTTACAATAAAATAGCCCAAATATGGAGCAAATGTAAATGCTTTCGATATCCTGTTCCTCCACCGACATTTGCAATCTGATCTTGGGCTTCTTGGAATCTTGGAATATATAAAACCGTGTTGGGTTGCATAATACAACTAATTATGTAATACGAATCGCGTGGAAAATCAACACAGCACGAGAACGAAACTATATACATGTAATTCGTCGAAATATTCCTCAATGGGTTATACGTCGTGGTATTCCCAAGTTTCGTTGCTGCTGTTGCTGCTTTCTACGGTTCCTTTGAAGAATATTTACGCAAACGGCGGAATCGCCACTTGTTAAAAAATAATGTGACCATGCTACAGTAAATAACTTGTAAACCGTAGTAAACAGTGTTTGTTGAGAACAAGCATCAGTAGTGTTGAGGACAAATTTATTCACGTGACCTACATAGATAAGAAACACCGTCAAAGGACATCATCCCAATATTTAAACCATTAATCTCATTAAATAATTGACTTAAGTGATGACGACTGATTCAAAACGAAACAACGGTTTCATCATATAAATAACATAAGTTATTACAATTCTATATAAATCAATAATTTTTACATGTCCTTATATAAATAATTTTCAATATTCTATACAAAATTAAATGTGTGTTTATTGCGAATAACTGTGGCCAAAGAAATCTTCGAATTTTACTAGGAAAACTTAAAACAGCTAGAAATAGAATTATATGATCATACTTTCGACGAAAGAAATGTTTTATGAGATATAAAGTCCATACAACTTTCTTTTCTATATTTCATTTTTTCTTAGGAATATCATCTGAATATTTTAATTATGGGTAATTTGTTTTTAATCTATGAAACTCATCGGGGATAAAACTCATCGACAGAAAAGGAAGAGAGGAATTGTCGTAGTTTGGGAAAGAAGGTGAAGGAAGGAGAGGAAAGAGAGGATAGAGAGTAAGATAGACATCAAACCATTCACTTTGCTTCATCCCGATGTAGGACACGGTCGTCTGAATCGCATTACGATGTAAAAGGGGATCCTTAGGAAAGTGCTGCACGTGAAAGACGATGTTCAAAATTATTACGCCCAATTTTACTGGTTACTCGAGGAATTCTTCCCCACAATGCCAGTGAAATTTATTAACCCTTTGCAGAAGAAAATTTTTTAAATCTCTAAGATTCCTATCCATAAAAGATTGAATTGTGCGTGGAAGAGTTAAATACTGGGAAAGAAGAAAATCACATACTAATCTTCCGTTGTTGAATAATTGAGCAGTTTATCTCGAACGTAGTTGAAGTCCATTAAAAAGCTGTTAAAAAATAAAAAGATGACGTAGAATTGTGACTATTATAATCATTAACTTGATTTGCTTCGAAAAATGGATTTAAACCATTTTCAAAATAAATAGCTCAATTACAATAAATTATTCATTTGCAGAGGTCGCCATTACGGCGGCATTCGAACGCCAAACGTTAAAAGATGAAGCTTGTCGTTAATGATTTATATTTTTTAAATTTTATTCTGCAATCTACTTCCATGGCATATGTGAGATATGTAATTTCCACTAGAAAAATGATAAAAAGTTAACCATAAATGTTGTTAGTATCGGTGGGTTGTGAATATGTTAGTATTTTACTTTATAGGTAACTTTTTTTATTAATAAATCTTAAAAGACGAAGTGGAGGATATATGCTTGACGATATAATCAATATCTAAGTATAAACAAATGACGTTATGGGTACATATGGTGTCGTTATAGCAACGTCATAATGTAAATTCGTAGCGTCACAAGCTGCTGACGTGATATCGAGATGTGGAGTCGTGAGGACAGCTAATTTTAAAAGCCAATATCTGGTGAACGAGCATGAATGAACGTTTCAGAAAAAATGTTGTAATATTATTCTATCGATGAACGGTAGTATGACGTCTTAATATGTCATAATGACATATATACGTAAATTCTTGAGCAGAAACTTCGAATAATAAAACAACGTTTTAGAAACAGCGACATAGTGAAATAAAATTTATTTGTTCCTCTTGATGTATATCTAAAGAAAAAGGCTTATATTCCTTTTCAAAATGATGCTAATCACATTGGGTCACTAAAGTTACATCATGAATTGTTTATAAAATTCAACATATTACGGTTTAAATATTGAGAAAGAATTAATTAATTATTATCCAATTTATTAATCTAATAACTCCATTATATTATAATGAAATACACGGAAATATTAAAACATTACGGAACAAAAATCAATATATTGGATTAATAATTTTAATATTAAGTATAACAACTTTAGAGTAACCCTTGATCTTTAAAGAGAGCTTTTTATCGATTTGTGTATAAATATATGGAGTAAATTATAGTGAAACGCAAAATATTATAATGGGCTTACATATTTATCTATGAAATGGATGTACATATAAAAGATATATTATAAAAATATGAATTACAAAGCAGGACCAATTGAAATGTATAAAACTAAAATAAAATAAAATCAAATACGCGTCTCTTCTTGTGCACACATATTTACATACATTTACATTCTCGATCAAATTGTGAGTCACATCGTAAATACATATCTTTCAGTACATTGATTTTTATGCAAGAATTGTCTTCAACAAATTACTGTGACAGTAAATATATTATTAACGAAAGCAACCAATTCCTTTCATTTACGTCATAGAATCATTAATTTAAACTTCCTTACGGTTAATCTGTTATCCAATTACGTTTCTCATTCGAAACATATGTGTATTCGTCATATTAAAATTGACATTACGATGAATCGGTAACTGATAATTTTCTTTTTCTCCTGTATACGGATTCTTATTAGTGCTAGAAATAAAAAAATGAAGATCAATGAGTCAACATTTCTTAGTTTATTACGGAAATAAGCCGTAACTATGTAGTCGTAAAATTCTAACCAGACCGTGGATTTATAGTTGTTAGACCGAGTACAAACATACAAGGCTTAATAAAATGACAACTTTAACAACCGTTAACAATTAACCCAATATATAATTATAATCGATTATACGGATGTTTCATTAATTGTTTAATTATAATTTGCATTATTTCTCTTAATCAGCAATACGGGAATTTAGTTCCTATTTAATTATCATTTTTATTTTCAAATCGGTCTATAAAATATGAATCCGCGCAAACATCCGTAATGTAATAACAACGTTCACGATTCACATTATTGTAACCGCATTTCCCAGTTGTGATGGTGAAAAAGAAATGATTCCTTTTTGTTACAGATCCTCCCGTCGACAGTGTGTACATGATATGCGGGGTGCTGATTGCTATGGTACTAGTGGGCGTTATTATTGTTCTACTAGCTATAACAATCAGGTAATTATGTACTTTGATATATTCACTATTCCACAATAATGTATACCACAATAATCTACAGTAGGATTTGAATTATCTAAATGTCGTTAATTTGCTAAGAAAAAATATTTTTAAAATAATAAAGATCATTTATAAAACTATAAACATATAAAAATAAAATTCTGTACAATAATACAATTTCTTTTTAATATTGTCCATTCGTTCACACGTGTGTTGTGTAGTAAATGCTTATACTAATCGTTCTGGCAAAATGTCATCGTTTGACCACTGCCCATTACGTACTTTGTATAATCCAGATACTACTGTGGTTACATTCCCCCAGGGAAATTTAAATTTAACGCGGATAATTTATTGAGTTCTGTATTGGTATCTCAGGTGCGAAATATTTGGGAATATTTACTGAATCCGCCAGAAGGTGCTATGACCTATCTGAACAGATTTCTGTTGTTCTTGGCAAGGGAAGTGCACCACGCGGGCACAAAAACAATCTCCATAGCGTGTAAGAAACAGCTTCGAGAGCTTCCCCGGTTCAACACAATATGTAGAAAACCAAGGATAGAGAGCGCATGAATAAGTCAAATTAATTGGATTTCGTAGGCCAGCTAGATAATCCCGCGAGGGAAGGAGTCACGATACAACTGAAAATAGAAAGTCTACAATTGGATACAATTTAATCGCCGTTCCAGGCATTAATCACATTTTAATTGGACGTGCATCAACAAATCGCGTGTATTCGACTACTAAAGTTCAATCCAATTAAGGTCGCCCGACGAATGATCTCTCTCCTGTCTTCAGTTACCGCCAGACGAATTCGATTCCAGATCACGGGGCGTTATCGATCATTTGTTAACTACCCTTACGAAGAGAAACAACCGAAACAACTAAGATTCTATTAGACAATTTCCCGAAGCATTCAAATTTGAAACAACAAACAAAAATTTTATTACATCGAATACAGAAGAAATGTTGATCCGTCAGACTGAAAAATTCGAGAAAAGAAGCCAAAAGTCATTGTTCCGAATACGGAATGAATGAACAATTATATTTGATCAATGGAATGATCGATAGGAGAATCATCGTTAATTGATGTTCCGTTTATAACAAAAGTTAATAAGAATTGTTGCAGGAATGCAATACGAATACGTATTTTGCTCGTCAATCTCAATTGTATGAACAGAACTTTTACGAGTCGTATAATTTCTTTTGTGGAAAAATATCAGCATGTATTGACTCTAAAATTTCAACTTCATAGGTGACAAAGAATAGACAAATGCAACTGCGTCGTAGTTCCAATGTGAAAATACAAATGTAAAATCCAATGCCATTAATTCTATTGTATGTTCGTATTTATCATTGGTGACGCTAGTCGAGGGGAACAGGACTTCCCCTTCTCCACGCTCTTTTGTGCATCGTGTAGCGTAATCCAAGGTCATCAGTACCATTGACATTTCGATATTTTATATTTTATAAAGTACCAACGCATTTATAAGTTAATGATAACAAAAAATTGAATATGCAGATGGTAGAGTGGAAATGAATACATATCTGTGCTTTTAATTGAAAATACAAGGGGACGATAAAAATTAATCAGAGTACATTTTATTTAAATTTATTTACTTATTTTTTAAGATCCTCACATTTTTTGGAACGCAACTAAGATTTGTTCATTTTATGTTTATTGTTTGAGTGTGGATTAACGTTTAAGCTTAGATAAAAATTTATCGAGTGAACAATTGTGTGTTGAAGTTCATGTTTCACCATGGCCAATGAATTCTGTATACATAGATTCGCTCAGCCCTGACTTGTATCCTGTTTAGGAGAATACCACTTTCAATGGAGTAGCATAATAGAGAAAGTAAAGGCTACATCCATAAATTTTTAACTGACTCCTGTCTTATTAGTGTGCGAATAAGAACACGTTTCTTACATCTATGAGACAAAATTATTTCTGTATTATTACTGTACCTTTATCGTAATTTTAATTTTCGTACCTATCGAAATTTTACGGACGAGATACCGAAATTCATTCTGTAACTGATGACAAATTCTGACATACTCTCAAATATACGGAAGCTTAAGACTCAATCCACAGCAAAGTATGAAAAGTATTTGTAAATACAAGAAAAATCCCGATTCATTTTAAAAGCAAACTTTATATCACTGATGATTCACATACTTATTAGCTAGTAAAAAATTGATGATAAAGCATCAAATCACATATTTTGCCACAAGATGCGTCATCTTAGTCATCTTAGTTATATTTAGCTGCAAATAGATCGAGTAATGCACATGCTTTAAAATAAAGAAGATTTAAAACCATATTCGCGTTACTTTTAAACAAATTCATTACTTTTTCAAATTTTTCAATGACTTCAAACATCTTGATCAATTTTATATTTTAAAATTCAATTGCTAGCCCATACCTTTGCAACGTTAGTGTATATTTTACTGGCTGTGCGAAATACAATCTTTCGCGAAACAAACATTATACTCACCATTTTCCTTTTACATACACCGTTCCCCTCTTGCAATCTTACAATTCAGGAGAACATGTTCTTCCGAGCAACATTTATTAGGGGATTTCAAGTCCGATAATTCCAAATCGGAGTCATCGGTCACGTGATCAATGATATAATCAGCTTTCCAAGCGGATTCTGTGCATCAGTGAATTCGACGTGAAGATCACGTGCGAACTCGCGTGAAAGAAACGCGGAAATCCTATAATCTATAAGAGAATTTCTTTGTAAATCCCAATAAAGGATTTTATCTCGGGTTTACCCATCTATAAGTTTTCCTGTTCAGCGAAATCGTACATAATCAAGATTTCGCAAGAAGGTTTCCCCAGTGCGATGGACGAAAACCCATTATTTTTCTTTCACAGTCTCGTTTGATTTCACCGGACACATTATCCGCCACGGACGAGATCCAGGAACGTTTTATTGCGATACGCTTCCGTTGATAACTTCCTCGTTAATTTCATTAACTCCAAGACTTTGTTCTTCTCGCTAATATTCCTCGCGCTATCTGTCCAGTTCCTGCGACAACGGCTTAACAAGAATATGGAGTGTTAAGCGTTCTCGGTAAAATCGAGTAGTCTCATAGTCACACCTGGGGCGTTCGATATGTTCCCAGGAAATGTAAATAAAGAACAAATCGAAGGACACATTTTGTTTTTCAAGTTTAACCGTTTGACAAGTTTACGTACACTTGAATTAACTGCAAATATAGTGTTCTATTTACAGTTTAATGAGATAAATGTACCAATAACTAACCAGTGAAGGTTATATTTAATATTTAATATTTAATATTTAATGTTTGATATTTACAGTATAAATATGTTGTCTTTACACCCTAAATTGGTTAGTTATTAAAATGTTTACCTTAACATTTTCCGGGATCTTATCGAATATCCCTTGTACGCCCGGAATCAATTAACGCGTTCGCATCTCTTTGCTCAAGCACTTGTGTCTCCGCAAACAGAGCGCGGGATTCAGACAAACATTGAAACTAATGTTTCATTCTAAATACATGCGTCGGAATTAAAAGGACAACATAAACCATTAATCATGAAGATGTATTATTTCCTCGTTTCCCTTGTCACTAATCGGCTGACTCGTCACCGGATTTACTTGGGACAGCATTAAGATTTGGTAGAGATGAACATATTATATACTCTTAAGTGTCCAATTGTCCCATTCCCTTTCTTACAAATTCTACGCAGTTTGTTCTCCTCCTTCCGATATCTGTTCCCCCTGTTCTATATATTTAAATTGTGCAATTGTTTTCATTCTCTCTCTTTCTTCTTTTCTTGCAATATACTTTGGTCTTCCTTACAACACCCATTTTCGATAGTTCCTTGCCGATTTGGGTACCTCGACTTTGTTCCTCCTTTCCTTTCTTTCCTTCTCTATCCATTCTTCTATCACCTGTTCTCCCGTTCCTCTCCATTCTATCTGCCTCTTTCCTGCTTTCCCTTAAGATCGGGTTTTCTGGTTGAATTATTATATTTACAATTAAAATAATATTAAATAGTTTTTTATTACCACCTGTAGGGCAATATTTTTCAATAAAAATGTTTAAATACATAAATAAATTTATATACAGTTGTAATAAGTAGAGTACTATTTTTCCTGGTACAAATTGTTTACATAGATTAATCATTTACATAGATAAATTATTACTCGGAACTTCGAATTCGTAACCTTGTTACAGTTCCCAATTTCTCTACGCATTTGATATATTATTAAAAAAGAGGCACACATCTAGTAACAATTTTCTTATACCTATTTTCAAACTTAAAGTATTTTTAACAAAATCAGAACACAATTAAATCGAAAGAGATTAAACGAATGAAACGATCCTGAAAAAACGAAAACGCGATTCGGTCAAAGGAGACCCGAAGAACGTGGCAGGGTTAATTAGTGATTTTTAAATTAATTTTCAATTGTAACTTCAAGGAAGTAAAAACAATTGCTAAAGTTAGGGAAGAGTTAGTCAGATCATCTGTACCAATGAAACTCTCTCGAAAGAAAATCGAAAGAGAAAATACTATTATTGAGCCGGCATTAACGCGGTGCATTGATTTTTATCTCTATTTCCGTCCAGATTAGTCCGAGAGGCGCATGTGCACCATTCACGCCGCGCCACCGGTGCCACGCGACACGCAAATGGTCAGATTTCAGTCTCGGTTTTAGGAGCTTCTTGAATTGTTTGGTTTCCCCGATTCACCAGGAATCAGAGATGAGATACCTTGCACTATTTCCTCGCTTATAGACACAAGGCGAAATATGCATGTTAAATTTGAAACTCCTCGTGATTTGGTCGAGTGCCAGAGACTCGATGCCTCTTCGATTCTCATCAGCCTACTGATATTTGAAAAATCTTCATCACCTTTGTCCCCGGAAAATTTGCTAACTGTAAAATCCTTTAATCCAATCTTTCCTAAACCTTTGAACCGTGTTAAATCGTTTTGGAATTTTTCAAAGGTCAATTTGTAGGCGTGAAAGAAATGTCATTTAAAATTTCGAGCGCTTCTTCGTGTCGCACTTTAATATCAAAAATGAATACTTCAGCTTCAAACTGTTTTTCTGAATCTCCTCTGAATCTTGTTCCGTAATCTTGCTTATTTTAATGAGTGTTTTGTAGCGTCGCGTCGCTTCGATTTGGAGCGCCAAGAACAGACAAGCAAAGACGCGCAATACGTAAATCCCAACTTGCAGTATAGCACAAAAACATGCAGCAATGTTTATCAGGCTGACTGTTACACGACTGATATTGAATTGTACGGTGAGTCAGACTTTATCGCAGTACCTGTGAAAACTAGAAAGACATCAATAATCGTTTAATCACATATGTATATGACAGTAAGAAACATACAAAGGGGAAGAGTTGACAATAGGAAGTAAGAGTAACAGTTAAAAATTGCAAAGAACGGAAGCATTAATCACGATGCGCTTAACTGATATCCGTATCTATTTATAATTGAATTTCACAGAAGTAACTAAGAAGGATATAGGTGCTTCAAACGATTATCAATCTGCTATATACTTCATCGATGTTTCTACATTATTGCAAGAATAAATGCAACATCCTCTTTTTTAATCTTGTTTCGAGGAACAGTTTGATTTCATACTCTATCTACGATCATTGGATATTAAAAACAAACCAATGTGGCTGTTAGGTAAAGTCGGTGCATATACTGATTGGTTCAGGTGGTTTTGTAATGTGGTCGTAACGTGTACACGCCCAACGGAGCAAGAATAGATGCTAATTAAATAGATCGCTCGATACACCGAACTTCATCTATTCTGTCTAGACACCTGTTTGTTTATGATTCGGTTTCATTTCAAAACTTAAACAAATTATCTTAACGATAGAGGGTGTACAAACATATGTACATAAAAAATCTATTTTACTTTATTATTTTTCATCTCTAAATGTCTCTTAGTTCGAAACAGTTACCAAGTGCTATCAGGTGTGAATATTCAAAAGCTTTCTTTTGCCATTATTTTATTTGCAGTGGAGTAATATATGATGATATTTATTAGAACAGAATCAATATAGTAGCAGATGTTTTTTAATTATTTTTAATTCTCTATCATTATGACACTATTTTATAAATAAAATGCGAAGCGGTTAGTTTAAATAAAGATGCAATACATGCTCACGCGAGGAAAGGGCATAAACTTGTCGTAGGGGAAATTTTTCAAATTTTGCCAAAACATTAAGAATATCCCTAATTCATTCCGAATATGTTTCACAAAAATGAATACTTCTGATAAATTAAGCGATCAGTTTATTGTGGCTTCGAAAATGAATTTTCAAGCATCCCACTTCTGTTTATCGTAATATCAGTACTGATTATTTAATTACGAGTTTCCATAACACTTTCGATTCTCGAGCATTGAGTCATAATTTCTTCTTACAATTAGCAACACTGGATTTTGCCGCGAACACAAGGAAAACGTGTTCCTTTGTACTCTCGCGTATCTTTCATCACTCGTTCACTGCGTGATGCTTTTAATTCAAGGAAATTCACGGGAATGTTTAAGAAACGTTAAACGAGTGTTTTGAAATTGATCTCATTTACAATAAAAATTCCGATCAAATGAAGACTAGAATTCAAAAACTTTCCATATCCTACTGCAACAACATCGATACCAGAAAAAGAGAGAAATACTTTCATTCGAAATTAGAAATAGCGCGCGGAACGCAACGCGGGATTCAACGTACGAATTCAAACTTTCAAAACAGTTAGGGCTAAGGACAATATCTGAAAAGGAAATAAACGCGCGTCGCTTTGCAAATTGTTTGGTACGAAGTATTTCACGCGGAACGTTCGAATCAGCGAAGCTCCGATACGGTAACTTCGTATTCGGTTATTTAAAGACATTGTTCCTAATTTCAAAAAGGTTCGCGTAGTTCACAACCGGCCTTTCCGCGCGATGCGACGCGACGCTACGCAACGTCTCGCCGGTGTGACGACAACAAGGGAGCCGAGCGAGCGAGCGTGTACCGTTCGAATTCCACGGAGGACGCGAACCGATTGGTTGGCGCTCGCGGCGCCTTCCAATCGCCGCGTCGTACCGGCGTGATGTCACGGGGCCGATATATAATAACGTCGCGCGCCATCCTCTGGCTCAGACCTCAGTTGGCTTTGAAATGAGCGGAACGAGGTAATCCTCGGTGAGTTGTTCTCGCTGCTCGCACGCCCTTCGGGAGTGAGAGAAGCCGGGTGGTGGTTCTTTTCTTCGGCCGTTTTGAAGGCAGAGCGAAACGGAGTCTCAGCGTGTCGTCCAGGCGATTCGTTTGCGAGTCCAAGTGTTTGCGTCTCCACGACACCAAGGATTTTGAAAGCTAGTCAATTCACGAACCGTGTCCGCCGTTTTAGTTTGGTGAAAACACCTAGCGCCTGGGATTAACCGTGATCAACCAGGGGGATACGAATTATATAAATATATATAAAACAACGGTGTGCCGGCAAAGTTAATTGTACGCAAAAAGAAAAAAAGGGAAACCAAAAGGTGGGCTGCTCGAGGAAAGAGGATATTTGAAAGCGCCGATTGAATTACTGCACACACACACGTATACACACTCACGCGTAAATATATACATATATATATATATCTATACTATAGACAGAAACACGCGCGCACAGTCTCGGCGCCCGTTACTAACAGCAAGGAATTAGAAGGACGTTCGAAGTCAGGAAGTGGTTCTCGCTACGACACATGGTTTGTTCGTAACGAATGCTTCGCGGGCCCACGATGGAATAGAAAGGTTTAGAAGACAAAGAAAGAGTGACAAAGAAGGCAAGAGAGAGACGGTTAGATAGAAAGGAGAGAGAAAGAGAACAAAGACTGGCAAAGAGCACGTTGTCCGATAAATTCCGTTTATTTACTTCGGTTGAAAACGAACTCTCGTTTTCTTGCCTTCCGCTTTACCAATTTGTTCATTTTGTTTGTTTTCCTCGCATAATCGTTACAACTCTCCGCACGCGAGAGTTACAACACGACGCAATCCTGAACACCTCAACGCGATCCGACAATAAGCTCTCGAAGCTGTACCTGAGATACAAAAGAAAAATGGTTGGGAGCAACGGAACTATGATCGCGATTCGCCTTGTCCGCAGCAAATTGCGGAAACGGGAGGATCATTCGAATGCTGTGCATCCGGAACCGACCGTGGTTCAGACGGCAACATCGCCGATCTCCACGATCGTTGCGTCGTCCTATTCTGTCGAGGGTTGTTGCACGCAGATTTCAACGACCACGACATCAACGGACCTGGGTAACAACACAGCTGGCGAACAGGATAACGTCTACGTGACGACCAATGCAGCTGAACAATTCGTCTGGCAGTTTCCGCCTCCTTATCCACCGCCTCACACACCGGCACAGTATGCGTTGTGCAACGGCCAGGTTGGTAGATTGTTTTTCTTGCTTCTCTTCTCTTTAGTTTTCTTTTGCTTCATTCTTTTTCTCCGATTTTCCGTTCCTTTTTGTTTACACCGCGAGAGCTTGCGATCTCGAAGGAAACAGGAGACTAGCGTGTATATCTCTCCTTTCTGCTCCTTTGGTACCAGCTGCGCTAACCAGTAGAGCCAGTATTACCAGATTTCACTGGTTTATCCCCCTACCCGACAGGATATCTCCAGGATCCTAACCACCATTGCTATTTCATTCGGGGAACTAGACCAATTTTCATCTTGAGCACGGTACATTGATATTGACGAATAGTTCCTCAGACTATGAAAACACTCAGCCCAGTGGTACTCACTTTACATCATAATGTCAACAATAGAACGGCCGTTAGGACACTGAACCATATACCGGGGGGCATTCTTATTGACATGTGGAAGGAAAGATGTTACTTTGAATTTTTTTCTTGACAGAATAATCCATATAAAGGATAGTAAATTGAAAATTTTAACTTAAGGTAGCAGATACTATTTATTGTCCTTTTTACTGTTCTTTCTGTACAGACACCTGCTTATTCAAATTTCTTAACTTTCATTGTTTTATTGAACTTTTGATTTAAAACATTTTCGACGTTTCTAATTTGGTTATCATCTGATAAAGAGATTGGTATTTTTACCCTCCAAATGAAAGTGATGTCCCCTTCAGTTATTAAAGTATTACTGTGTTTGCGGTACTATTTCGGAACTGATCGATTTCCTCCTGCTGCTTTATTTACTAAGTTATGACAGCGCATTAATCTATTACAAAATGTGTCTCTACCAACAAAAATCAATACATTAGCAGCACAAACAATTTTCTTGAATTACTAATATTTAAAACATGTATATCGAATGTAAAAAATTGATTTTTTATACTATCCCGTTTCGTATCGAATGTACAGAATGTGTTCATAACCTCACTTTCCGCTGTCAAATTTAAAACACGTATACGAGGCAGTCCATACATCATATTTTGAATTCTTACAACAGTTTATCCAAAATTGGTCATTATAAAAATATTCAGTGAATATATGTGTAAAATCAAACTTAACAAATATTTCAATAGGTCATATGTATGTTGATTTATATTTTTATGAAATAAATTCAACGACAATAACGGTCGATTGTTTGGTATTTGTTGATTTTATTCAGTTTTTATTCAGGAAAATAAACGTATAATTGTGTTTCTGTTAAGTATTGGCTGCGTTTAATGAAAATGCATAACGAAAAGATATTTATACATTGTATATTTAATCAACTTTTATTCGTATATTTTATCAATTTATTTACCTTTATTGTACGTATAATTGTACAATCTTGTGCAACAGGTTATATATACATATATATATATGTATATATAGGAATAATGTGCGCAACTCGAGTAAGCTACCAGAAATTAGGATATTCTTGATGACGATAAGACCTTTTAAAATTGTAGTTAATAATAGTTGATGGCGCTATCGATCCTCCAAGGACGAGGCTTACGGGCAGACGGCCTGGCAAACGAGTTGTAAGGTCGAGGCTCAGTCCCAGGCTCGCCGCCAGAAAAATCCCAAACAATCGGCAACGTTGCCGCTTCTACTCTGCTTTGTTGCCGTTATGACACCCGTACGTTTCAGTTTCATGCTCCACTTACCGACAGATCTTTACTACTTTCCCATATAACGTTTGCTAGTTTTGTACATTCTCATTAATAAAGCACCATTATGCGTGACGACCAATTCATCTTAGACTAATTGTCTATTGAATGTCGAACAAAACATTACGAACGAAAACTTTACACCTCTAATGACAGATTAATGCATTTACAACAGAATTTATAACAGAATTCAACTTCTAACAACAATGTATTTTTATGATTTAAGTTCCAGTCATTTTAGAATCCCTTCAATCGAAAGTTCACCGCTTGGAGGTTAAGTTCCAATGGAATTATGGTATTTGAATGATGACACTCTCGAGAATAGAGTCTATGTAATTATAATGGAAAAGAATAAGAGCTTCATTGATTATTACTTTTTTACTAGTAAAATTAATTGAACTATCAAGAATGTATATTTGAAAGAAAATCCAACCAGCCATTTTGTACTTGAACCTGGTTCATTCGACTAAACTCGATCACCAGCAAACTTTAATCGTGTCACTGAATTTATCGTATGCTTAATTTAACCATATTACCCAATTTATCAAATTTTGAAATATATGTTCGCGCAAACACTTACGGAAATAAAAATAAGTCGATTAACGTCCGAATGTTCGACGGTTGACAACAGACCCGAGCAGTTCTATACTTAACACCGTTATCTATTTAAATTTTCGCAACAGAGATCACGATTCGCATTATCTCGTATCTTGTCAGCTAACCTGACCATTAATTACCTAAATCATCGAGATGACGTAAAATTTTATATCGACGCGATGTAAGATACGTGTGACGTTGTCTAACGTGGTTCAATTAAAAAGTGAACACATGGAACTTATCCATTACGGAAATCAGATAAAATTGGGTTTTCGGAATTATCATACATGTAGCGCCATTTAGGAGTCAAGATCGTAATCTTGCGACGATGATTTCACGCCTGTTTATAATTATATTTAATTCTTAATTTCATGATAATTATGAGTCAGTTATGCGTTGCTCGGGATTAGCCCCTAACAAATTATCTCGCGTATCATCAGCCATTCCTCGGCTATTACATTCTATTTTTAACGTGTTAATGTCTTTTTCGTGAGTGTTCATTGTCAGTCATTTGCCGGACACAGCTAATACGCGGAAAACGACTCAATACTTGAACTCGTTTATCCGACCGACGTAACCGTTAACGTCATTCATTACAGCTGTTAATTCGTCGTTCAGCGTATATACATAGTTGGACTTCCCGCAAAGTTTTGCCACCAGCACTTTGTGGTTTTCCTTAAAAAATTTCTTCTCTTCAGTGTTCAGTGATTTAATCTAATAAAGTAGCTAGGAATCTTTAAATTCAAACGTTTCATATTTCATGAAAAATAAAAATTAATTAATGTGTAGGGGCGGCGAATAAAACTTTAAAGCGGTTTTGAAAAAGATTGTCAATTTTACGGATTATAAATGTCTGCATAAAAACTATTGTTTCACGAGGACAAATATTTTGGTTGATAAGTTGTATAAATGGAAGTCATATTTTTCCAAATGTGAACAGTATTGTTTTTCCTTTATCGGATCTGTATATGGTTTCCGTTGAAGTGATTATAAAAAAGGACATAGAAACATATAATTCATTCCATATTTTATACCTAAATTCCGTAATACTTTATTAGGTAGAAAGGATGATGATCCTTTGCTTCATTTAACACCGTTAGATTTTTTGCTGGGATATGTCTAATTCATCGTTTGTAACGATATTCCTTTGACCGCAGAACACACTGGATACAGTTACTCGCAAAAGTGTCTAGACAAACCACGGGGAATAAAGAAAGGTCGTTTGTTGGCCAGGTCCATTGATATTATGTTACCCACCATAGATGAATAGTTTACCGGTAGTTTACCGTTTATCATGGTAGGGCGTAAAATATCTAATAACACGGGACCTGCTTTAAAAATAATCTCCATAACGTTTATTTAAGTATTTATAAAAACACACGAGAAGTCGAGTCACCTTTATCATTTCTAAAAAATCAGCCTACCATGATTTTGAACAATTAATAAAATTAAAAATCAGTGTAAGAGATAACGTTTTTGACACGACAAATTTATAAGATATTACGCGCGGCAAGTGGTACAAGCGTAGAAATAAATTTCCAAAGGAAGTTACTGTCAAAGGTAAATCGCAAAATTTCAAATGTAGTTGCCCGACGAAGAAAATGCCGCTTTCAGGAAAAACGCGTTTAAAGTTTCGCATACCGTTTTAAGCCTGCACGAGGGTCGGCACGCCTCAAGGCTAGGTAGCATCGCCAATTCTTTTCATACATTTACAGTACTTCAGAATTATACTTTCAAAGCGAGAAAAAAGAAACGCGACAGGAAAATCCAATCGAAAATTTGAATTCCTTCGATCGTTAAAACACGAGGACCGTTTAAATGTCACATTATCCGGTCCATTTTCAAATATACACTTTCCAGAACATTCTGTTCGTTCTGTCATCGCAGAACACTGTCACAACGTCACTGTCTGCCCGGGTCACGTGGACGGAAAGCATTTGCGAATTTGGCTGGTTGCGGTCTAGTCGCTTGATTTTTAACGTCGTCAGTTGTAGCTGGCGAGACGCGGGGCCGGTGGTCCTCGTGACGTTGCACGCGCGGGTCGGATCGGATTCTTCGTCTTAGAAATCGTGAAAAGGCTGGCTACGCGCTGGGTGTTTCGAATGGATAGACGCGCCTAAAAATCCGCTTCCACCCCTCTGTGGCTGGGGTCTAAATTTAGCGTGGGTGGGCGGTCGCAGCCGTTTGCCAAACAACTAGACTTCGTACAGGGTGCAGCTGTCCCGTGGTCGACAAAATAATGTGTCTCTCCTTGACGACACCGGGCGCAAGCACTGGCAGTATTCCTACTTACAATAGCGGTCCCCGTCTGTCGCCTGTGGTTGAAAACGTTTCGACGATGTTTTCATTCTTTTCTCGCCTTTTCCGTCCTCGATCACCGTTCCGGCAACGGGCTCGCATTTTTCTGGTCCATGCGACCGTTTAATTCGCCTATGCGTTCTCCGCGATTCTCTTCGTTCTGTCCTTCCGATTCCCTCTCTTTTTTCCCCTAGCGGGACAGCCCTGGCCTCTGCCGATCGGTTTCGTAACGTGCCACCTGGATACACGATGTTTCCTGCTTTTTCGGTCGAGACGGACTCTCTACTATTTCTATCCTTTCCTACGCGCTATAGTCATATCGTAGACGGTCGTAACTCTTACGTGCCCTTACTGTCGCACGCGCGTACGGCCTGACGCTGTGAAAGAGTCTCGCAACCGTTTATTCCTATTTCGTTGGAACCTCCTCGCTTTGAAGCGTTCCGATTCAATCGTTTCTCGGAGAATGTAGCTTATTGGAACTCAGATAAGAAAGCCTTTTCTTTTTCTTTTCTTGGAATTACACGTCCAATGCTCGCTGTAATTTAATACGCGGTAAAAGCGCAATGCGGAAAACTGACAAGTGGAATCAGAGGGAAGTTTTAGGGGAGTTTTAATAGGATTCGAACTAGGAAGTTCTCGCGCCTTTCAATTCTTTGTATCTTAAACTCTTTATTGTTTTAAACTATTATGCGTAAAATAACGATAAAAATTGTTCAGATCTGTTGAATCGAGTAATTGAATTGAATATTGAAATGAATCAAATTGGAGAAGAATTTGTACCTAATATTTAAATTACCAAATAGAAATTTATTTCCTTTATTATCGTTGTTATTTAATTAGACATAAAATTAGAAGATATTCGAGGTTCATTAGAATTTCTGTTTTATGTTATGATTTATATTCAGGTACTGTACGGATTCATAAAAATCTTTTTCTTTTTGTTTTTGCAAAGGAACTTTCAATATAAATATCTGGATTACATTATTTCACGGCAGTAGAGTCAACTCGAAGAGTCAGTTGTGTAGCCCTATGTTCTTCGAACGGATAATAAAAGTCATATTCATACTGCGTTACGTGTAACGATAGTGTAAAATAATTTTGCGCATGGAAAATGCAGCTGTTATTACATTGAACGTATAATTGTAACGATATGAACTTATAGCAGGAGTATACCGATAAGAATAACATAAAACAGTACTGGAACTGTTTTAGAGAATCACGCTTGAATATCTCTAGCTTGTTCTTTTTCTTTTATTAAGAAAAATTTGTCTGAAATAAACTGTTTCTTCTGACATTTCTTTTGTGATTGCATCTGCATTGTAATGCACCAGACTGTGTTACATTCTTTATCTTGTACCGCAATGACTTCGATAAAAATTACAAACAATTAATCCGCCGGGTCGTATTGTTTTTCGCGGTGAACCGCATAACTTCGGCGAAAAAAATGGCGTTCGTAAATATTTCTGTTTCCATAATCATTCATTGTTCTCTTTACGTTACACAGAAGGTCTATAATTTATTCTAGTTTTTTTATTTACATTTTCTTCTATTACTTATTTTGATTTTTGAAGAATTCAATTGAGCATGTTTTGAATTTGTACGAAGACATGACAAACCAAAAGTTTTTTTCACAAATACTTTGTACATATTTTTAGATATAATGTCGAAACGTTATTTTATTGGTTACGAACATTTTGTGGTTGAAAAAAAGCGTGACCAATTGTTTCGAGTAAATGCATGAAATAATTAAATGACATTTCATTAGAAAAGTAATAAAATTAGAGAAAACTCGGTTAAAGTATCGAATGAATGAAACTTTGACATTTTTAAGAGTTCTTTTCTATGAAAGTATTCTACTCACGAAGAATTACGCGCACTTTCGACACATTTTTTATTCTTCTCTTTCAATATGGCGGAAGGAATGGCAGTTGGCGCCTTTCGAATGTCCCAAATTACGTCGTCCTTTCACTCTTTCTGTTCATTATTGAATCTCCGATTACGCTTAACCGTTTAAAAACTAAATTATTGAAATATGAATTTGCATAAACTATGAATAGTCTACATAATAATAGTAAACTACTTATGCTCACGTAAGCATTTACTTTTCATAGATATCTTTTTAGCAGTCTTATCACAAAGTACGAATATATTCAAAGCGCTATAAAAAATTCAGGACAGTTTGTAGTGAGACTTGTTTCATAATGTATTGCACGGTAAAACGTATGAATATCCGTGGTGTCTAGTCTAGGAAATTAAATTATAAATTAAATCCTTAAATAACAGAAATACTAACAGTCTTCGTCGAAATGTTAATTAACAATCTGATATGTTTTTGCACCGTAACTGATCAACAGTGCCCAACAGATAGATCACTGGAACTCCTCAATATTATATTAAAATAAATTAGCTGCTCGTTATTATATTATACGAATCACAAATCTTATTAGTTATTTCTGAAAACAATTTGCCAAAAATAAATTTGAAAATGAATGCTTTGGTCACTATGGGTTATTAACTTTCTGCACTCGAGAGGAGACTCCCAGTTGCTATTTAATATGGTACATCAAAATTACGAACATATTTCATGATAAGCTTTGTATAATGCATCAATAAGTAAATTATTGAAAGAGAATAGTTCTGTGCTTTAATTATGTATGAATGAAATTAGTATCTCATCAAGTGAATATTTCTAGCGAACAAACTTTTGAGTGCAAAGGGCTAAGGATTAAATCGAGATTTTCGATAGAAACCGTGCGTTAGGCGCAGCTGGTACAATTTAATTTCGTTTAAGCAAGATCTAAATGCAGATTTAATCAACGTGCGCGTGGTCTGTTACGTTTCAGGATACTCTTGTACACGCATTACCGTCGGACAGGCCTGGATTTGCAAAGGGCTTTCGTAAAAACATCGGGGGGCGCTGGCGCCGCCTAGTGAAGAGGAAGCCGGAGACGGAGACTTGTGCCATTCCTCCTGAGCTAAAGGATCAACTGAAGACGATCTACGTCTATTGACGGCCAGCATCGTTGAATCGTTGCCGATTTCGTCATGAAACTTCCACTCAGTAATCAATGTTTTCCTGTATGTAAGATAGATATTGTATCGAAGAGAGGCGAAGATGTACAATAAGAGAATCGAAGTACGCGATAAGGAAACCGGATGCAATGTCCGAGCGATGTCACGTTTTTGCGAAACGAAGGGAATCGTGAAAACACGCGTGCACATATCATCCACATGACCGAAGGAAAAGAAGAAAAAAGAAAAGGGAGCATTAAATTTTAAATAATCAATTATGACTAAACATATCAAAAAGTGCCTAAAAATCCTGCACCGGACAAATGAAATGCACGCGAAGATAATCATCCTTTTGACACGTTGCATATTTTTGTAAACAAAGGGTAATATATATGTATGTGTGAAACATGATGCATATATATATTACGTAGAGTTCATAGGAAAACGACGAAAATGCAAAAAAAAATACGAACACATTTGTTACTGCACGTTGTAGCATAATTTGTATAGACAGACTGCGGATATTTATAAAAATTGACAACTTTTGAAGATTCTCGTTTACAAAGAGAAACAAAACGAATACTTTTCATTAGAGTCATTGTTAAAAAATGAATTTGACCGCACTTCACTACAGTTTTTACTTCATCGAACTTTTCATAGTCGCTTGTTATAAATGCACAAAGATCCGCAGTCTATTTATGGCGAAACTCATGAAAGGCATTGTATACATATATGTGTAATATACGCGTGTTAACGTGAACATAAGAGAGACAGAGAGGGAGAGGGAGAGGGAGGGAGCGAAAGAGAGAGAGAAAGAGAGAGAGAGAGAGAGAGAGAGAACATTTTCTGAAAGGTTCGTCGCGCGTGCACGCTTCATCGCTCGTGGTATCGCGAAATTGCAGAAGTTTCTTTGTAAGACTTCGATAAAGCAGGACGACGGCGTCAAGAACTTCATGAGACTGAAAAAATGTAAAATGTACGACAAGACAAGTTACCCTCGTTGCTTTTGTGTACGTTTTTACATGATTAATAGGAGAAATCACTTTCAATCATTAGTATTAATGTATACCTGAAAATAATACGACCGTCGGAGCTGCCCTTGTAGGTTTCTGTTCTCGTAATAATGTCCCTTCTGGCAGCTCTGTTGCTGTGCTAATAGATGTGTTATAGAACGGTGCCCTCCAGTGGTCGTTGCCATTCGCAGCTAAGCGACGCACCGTGTCGAGGGGCAAGAATCACTGGAGTACATCGTGCGCGACGTAAATGAAGGCGTAAACTACTTCTAATTCTTATAATGGCCGACCGTTA